ATTCCCCTTCCATTGTATTCTTTCATCTTTACTCTTACGTTAAAGTATGCCTGGCCAATACCAACAAAAACACAGTTAGGATAAAGATACTCCCATATCTTCCTATTCAGTATTTAATCTCTTTATTAGTCTTTGTATTTATAAATGGAACACTTAACAACTTCTACAAAACATCAGAAAAAGAATAAGGAATAACTGCTTAGAGGAATTCATGATACTATTTTGAATGTCATCTGTAAATAGTATCAATGTGATGTATTGTTTCGAAAAAAGCCATAAAATATTTGGTTATTGAGATTGACAGGCCATCGATCGTGATTAGCCAAACCTGCCCATTCTGTACAATTTATACACGGCGGCTTCGGCATAAGATTAGAAGATCCGTTCATACTGATAAATTGATAATTCAGGTGACTATTATAGAGATTCTGCAAGTCAACAATGAATTCTTGGCCCCCTACACAGATACCTGTAGAATCACACTGATTGACTAAATCGAGTACTGATGTATTTTTCGATGGATTGGGTGTTTGTGAGCATGGATCATTGTCGTTTTGATAAGGATTGGTTGATGAATATACGGCAGCAGCAGCAATATTGGGTGTGTTGAGCGCATAGAGCAATGCCATCGAGGCTCCATTGCTCCAACCAGATAGAAATACACGAGTCGAATCAACATGAAGATTGGACATATGGTATACTGTATGATTAATAAAATAGTCGATTGCTTGAACATCCACGTTCATCTTCGGGTCAGATCGGTTAAAATTTCGATACCAAGTATCCCAAGCGATACAATTAATAAGACCACATTCGAAATTTTTCGTGATTCGAGCGGCTGGAAGAAGTAAATGATAACCAGAAGGACCCCTGATCGTACCCGTTAGGTTGGCAGTATATGCTTCGACTGTGAAGTTCGTGTCGTACACTGACGTCGGGTAAACAATTGATGGTTGAAGCCAGACGACTAGAGGCAATCTTTTCGATGAGGATGTGATAAGAAGACATGCGCAACGTGTTTCATTATTGCTATCCGTAAAATTGAGTAGTTGTCCCGATATGTTTTGACACACTTGAACCATCTGGTTGTAATTAAGCATCGATTCACTAGAAGGAGCTGGCGGATCACCATACTGTGTGCATTGTGTTGAACCAGTTCCATCCGATGTGGTCAGAATGAGTGAAAGAAGATAAAGAGAAAACAATGAGACGAGCAGAATCGTTTTCATTAAACACGCAAATATCGAAATGCAAACAAGAATAATTTAGTAAAGATATGCTTTGACGTTAGTAAATATCGCAAACGTATATATATATATACTGTTGAATGATTCATAGATCATGACATAAAATGGGCTATCAATAACGAAAATTATCTGATTATTATCATGTATGCCCTATTACTAATCTATATGTTTGATACACTTCAATTGCACCAAACTCTAACGTTCAAATCTATTTTCGATAGTCAAATCATCAATAAAAGGTGTCGTATACATATAAATAAATGAAATCGTACCACCTGTAGATACGAACGCAAGGGCGTGTGCTTGGCTAATTCATTTTACGCACGCTTGTGTGACTAATTCATGTTGTTAGAAATAGATTAGTAATCAACGAGCTCAAACAATCTATAATTTTTTTTTCCAGTGAATGCATTTAAACTTTGGAGAAATGCCCTATTTTTTTACGTTTTAACGATCGATATAGTTTTGACTTTAAGATCGTTAAAATGAGTTGAAGTACAGTGTGTTAAAGCAGTAAATGCGTCACAACAAAAGAAATTGGATATTTTTCATTCATTTAAATACATTCAATGGAAAAATTTCAACAATAGTGAGCAAAACTATCCCGTTTGATCGTATTTATGTAAATTTGACCATAGAAGCTTAAACTTACGAAGCAGTCAAGATACTATTAGACTGAAATTATGGATTTATTCATAAATCAAATTTTCGACTTACATTGAGTGAAAAATTTTAATAAATGTGCTGTCAACTTCGAATGATAGTAGAAGTTGGCGAATGCAAATAGATTGAAGTTTATTAGCGTTTACAAATCGAATATGATGGACCTATTTTCATCTCATTTTAATCCAATTGTTCATCAAAAAAATGATTGAAACAATTACATTTGAAAAATTCGATTTACGTTCACATATTCGCTTTTTCCTCAGCTTCGAACTGATTGATAGTGAAATTATTCAAATTTTGATCCATTGCAACTCAATAAGAAGTCATTAATCAATTTTTAAGAAATTTATTTTGTTTTGATCATGATTTTGGTTAGAAATCCGATTAAGATGGCATGACTTTAATTGGTCTTTAGTCATAATCAGTAAATAAAATTCTCTGTCACTTTTTCTACATCAGAATGATGATTTGAAGTTCAAATTAGAGACATTTTAAAAAAGACATAAATGGATGTGAGATGCCGTATCGTACCGTAGTGACGTCACAATGAAAAAAAAACCTCATTCATATAGGAAATACTTTATCGATCGACGATCATGTTTCACAATGTACACATATACTCTATAGAGTGTCAAATTGATCACCGATCAGAGTTAGTTATTACAAATCTTCCACGTGAAAGCTTGCTTTTCGACTTTATATATTTGCTTTAACTTAAAACTATTTGTCATTCGACAGTATACCAAATAAATTTGTTATAAGCAGCAATTATTCTCAAGGATGTGGGGTGTGGTTGTAAGTACCAGTGAGGACAATACAAAAACCTACACCCAGAATAGGAAAGAATTAGAATATGAAAAATTGTTATGCATATTTTCCAGATTTTGCTAAATGCTACTATAAAGCTCTTAGCTATCGAAGCACGTTTTTTTTTCCCAAAGACTAGAACTTTTCTATCATTATGACAACTGGCTAGCGAATGTGATCTAGAGGAAATATTTGTTCTTTGGATTATGCTAGCCAATCATGGAGTTTCTAAGGAGGTTTTTTTCAGTCAGATCCAATAATAGAATTCTAGGTTGACGAAATATACACTATTAATAGCAATCGAACATAACTTTTCAAAGTCGATAGTAAGAAAAATAAAAGAACAATATTGTATGAGTCGAGTTTTACTATGAAAACGTGAAACCCTAGAGAGTATTCTCTCAGATGAATTCAAGATTGAAATGATATAAAAATATACACTCTTCAAGTGCATATCACATGCCTAGAACATATGTTATTCCTTTCTACTGTCATGAAGATTCAAAAGCTTACGTGAAACCACAATTTCTGAGATATTTTAATTCCAACCGCTGCAACGTGGTTGATATGCATTTCGTCTTAGAAAACCGCATTGGGATCTAATTTTTGAATACTTCTCCCAAGGACTAATAATTTTTGTTCAATAATACCTTGATGTACAGCTGAACATGAAAAATTGATTTTTTTATAGCTTCAGTATTTTTTAATCTTTCCCATTTTTCGTAAGCAGTAAAGATAATTATTGGTAGGATTGCCCCCTCATGAAATCGAAAAATCAGGAAAAAAGCGGAAACCTACATTATTGCTGACTTTTTTAGTTTTGTATAGTTGTATGAAGTAAATATTGATCTGGATGAAGACTCACATGCATCTCTTGCGATTTGCACAAGTTTATGTTTATCTGGTTGTAGCATTGCTGTTGCTGTTTCCGATTTTCATCATTGATGTCATTCTCAATAATGATCTGGTTGTGCATTTGTTTCAAAAAACTTGTTTAAATTTTCGGATTGGTACCCTTTTTCTGTATCGATGGCGCAAAGAAAAACAATGGATTATTAGAATTAGCTATTAGTTGAAAGTAGAATGGTGCTTTTACTTCATTAATCCGAATTGAAAACCGTCTTTCTTTCATAGAAAAAAATTCTATGCTCTGCCAGTAAGTTAATAGATTGACGAATAACTGGAGGGCGGACGATGTACCTCAGTCATCGTGTTTTATTGAACAAAAGCTGACTTTTCTCGATGTCGAATTGTGAAGAATCACGTGAAAGTCTTTTATCCGAAGAAAGCGGAGGAGGTGGCAACCATGTTCATTCTACTTGTCAAATCAATTTGATGATCTGTTACTATTCTTATATCATTAGATGATCCATAGTGCTTTGTAGCAAACATCCAACCATGGCCACAAATACCAAAACAAAAAGTTTTCCAGGACAAAATGAATAAGCAAAATCATTCATACTTGAACTTCATGCGAATGTACTCGCGTAATAATTGCAAAAATAAACATTCTCTACCTAACTTCTGTTTATAAAAAGAATTAGAATTTAACAACGAAAATATTATTCATCAATAAAGTGGAAGATGCATTCAATAGTGTTATCCACGAGTAAATGAAGATGATTCATTCTCATGATGTCGAATTGTTAGATAATAATCTACCGAAGAATGGCTCGAAAGCATGATATGTAAATTGTTCAAGTATGAATCAAAGAACGGAGCTGGATTACAAGAAAATGGACTAACGGGTGGATCGAAAGTTTTCGCACAAAATGTTTGTTTATATCTGACCCACTTGAAAATATTTCAGACGAGTCGAAAACTATGGATTAAAACCAGAATTTTGTGCTATTTCTGAATATG